TTTTTTTTTTTTTTTTTTTTTTACCAGGGACTGGACTCAGGACCTTGCACTTGCAAGGCAGGTGGCTACACCACTGAGCTAAAATCTCTGGTCCAATTGATACATTTCTTAAATGTCTTTTGCATCCAACTTTTCTCATTTGCTCTGGAGTTTTGATTTACAGATTTATTCTGTGTGGGAAATTTTGTTCTTTCACAGTGCTCTCTGTAAGAAGCTGCTCTCTCTCACTCGTTAGGAGCCTGGTCTAGCACAAGCTATTGTGTTGGCAATTTTGGGGTCTTTGTAGTGTGGAAGATATGAGAGAACATGGATTGGGAAAGAAATGGTTTGGCCCATTTTCTGTTGGCCTGGCTCTCTGCCTCTACAGGAAGCTGCTCTATTAGGGCACAACCCTGAGCAACAACTGCTGTAGATAGTTTGATTCTCTATTTTAGGGGTGGATTCTTGTTTCAGTTCCCAGTTTGGAGGTGAGGTGGGCTTTGGTCCCCAGTCATGTGGGGAACTCCTTTATCTGACATTTTTATCTGACCCTGTAGATGTTATTATTTCTGACTGCCTCCACCTGATTTTAGTTCTGCAGTTGGGTAAACCTATACATCTGCTTTCTGTATCTGCTCTGTGTTACCACCTACAAATTTGCAATCTTGTATTAAGGACAAAAGGAATAATGGTGTTTTGAACATGGTTATATCATTAAAATCTATTTAAAAACTAATTTGGAAGGGGAGGTAGAAATTACATCATGAGCCTCAGGGTCCTCTTACACACAATGTCCAGTTTTATACTACATTTTATTTTCCAAATAGATAATGAATTATTTCTAGTGTCCCAAATTTTGTAGCTTCCAAATACCTACCCCAAATGTGAAATACCCATTGCTTCATTGCTTTGACTAAGAAATATTGGTTGACTGTTCATCATTCTTTTTAAGGAAATAAAATAGATTAGTCCTTTTGCTGAGTGCTTTGATTGGATGTGTCCCCCCATTTACGTGCTGTAAATTTAATCCTGGAATTTATGTGCTCTTGGTTGTTGGAGATGGGGCTAATGACTGCTGGAATTTATGTGCTAATGGCTTTTGGAGGTGGGGTGATTTTGGAAGATAATTAGGATTACATAAGGTAATGAGTTTGGAGCCCCCATTATAGCATTGGTGGCCTTATAAGAAAAGTAAAAAAGAACTGAACTAGCATCTTTACTTTGTCTCACCAGTGATGTCTTCCACCATGTTGTGATGTAGGACAAAGCTCACCCTTGCCAAGCAGATACCGGCACCATGTTCTGGGGCATGATCTCAGGTATAATAAGGAAAAGCAGACTAAGACACCAAGTAAATACATACATACACAGGGCTAGACACAAGTGGATGAAACTCTTGTTTGGTCAGAGAACTTTGGATAATGATTCCCTGGGAACTAAGGATGGCCTTGGCACTGAGCCTGAGTGGATGGATATTGGCTCTCTTTTATTAATTAATGATTTGCTAATTAATGACAATTTTGACTCCATGGGGGGGCTTTGGCGTGTAATTTTGTTCACTTATAGGAATAGAATAAGATGAAGTCATGGTGTCCAAATGTATCACATTTCTGCCTCTTCTCAGAGGTGGTTCCTTTTCACTCTTCTCAGGAAGGAAGTGCTTCTGGACAGGTCCAGCAAGTGTGGGTGAACAGTCATTGTTCCAGCCTCTTTTTCGATCACTGTCTTTACACAAATTAACTTATTTAACTCTTCAAATAATCAAAATTATGATTACCATCTCATAGATGTGGAAGTTGAGGTGTAGCTAAAGCACTTTCTGAACATCTGTAGCTAGTAAGTGACAAAGCTGGGAAGCCTGACTACTCCCGCTGGGGTCTATAGCAAATTCCCTCATCTCGGGAGGGACTTTTTCTTGTGGCACTGGGACTATCTCTTGTCCCTCCGAGAAGCTCAGTTATATGGACCTAGGGACATACCTCCTGGCCGTGTTCCCCTAATTCTCTTGCTGATGTAGGTGATGGGCTTGATGGTTGACAAAGTTCATTATTTTTTGCATAAGAGATAATCAGAGATTCTTCATGCTTCCATGTACCAGAGATACTTACCAGGTTCCCCACTCCTTGTCAGGGTTTGTGCTCAGGACTCTCCTCTTTTTCACTCAGCATTTCCAAAGCCAGTTCCTAGGGTGTGAGTCTCCCACTGACTGTGGAGGAGCTAAGGGTTCTTCCTGTGGCTCCAGGATTCTCTTTAGAGAGTAGAATGGCAATTTATTCCTATTGCTGCTGCCAAAGTCTCCTGGGGAAATGAACGCTTATGAGTATCAAGCCTGTGCTTGAGACTACTGATGTTCTTGCCAAGTCCAACCTGAGAGGGAGGGGGGAGAAAAGAAAAGGAAGGATGGGAGGGAGGAGGGAGCGAGGGAGAGAGAGAGAGAGAGAGAGAGAGAGAGAGAGAGAGAGAGGGAGAGAGAGAGAAATTATTTCCAGTGATATGGCATTTCTGAAGAAAGGATATGCTTGCTTATTTCTTGCACTTGTTTTTCAAGTACCTGCCTGCAGCCTACTGGGAGTTAATCTACTGTGAGGGAGTAATAGTCATATTTAAAAATGGTACAGTTAGCTGATTAAGCAGATTATTCAATTCACTCCTCAGGCCATCTATTCTCTCTCCATTTTCTTATTTTTCAGAGGCCAAGAGGAATAAAATAAGTAACCTGGAGTTAGGAGGCCTATTAGGGGAGACTTTAAAGAACAGTTTGTGGCACTTTCTAGTACATTCTGCCATTTTATTAAGGAGGAAACCTGAAGAAGACCAAAACCTGTGATTAAAAAAAGAGCTGCGGGGCAAAGTTAGCATGCAATATTTCTGAAAGAGAGAGAGAGAGAAAAAAAATTTAAAAATGAACCAGTAACATCAGAGGACATCTTAAATAGAATACAATTTTCCTCTGATAGTGGTAAACCACTCAGATCTACTGGGTAATACCTACAGATGGAGGCTGGTGAATCATGCTGTTACTATTGGTTCTTTTTCTTCCTTCTCTTTCCCTGAATGATCCCTGACCAGATAGCTTCATAAAGTGCCACCTGTAAGGCTCTATGGTCACTGCCTTCTTGAGTGGATTCAGATGAATTGAGGCTGAAAAGAGCCTGTCTTTGAGACAGAATAGGGAAATAACATAGGTGTAATGAATGAAATTTGCTAAATTGTTCTTTCAAATGACTTTCCTTTAGGTGAGAGTTTTAAAATCAATTTAGTGCTAGGATATTAGAAGACATTCCAAGTACAGTAGGCGATTTGAACCTGTGGGTTCCACATCCACCGATCTAACCAGTTGCCAATGGAAAATACTGTATTTGAGAAAAAAATTCCAGAACAAAAGCAAACTTGTCCTGTGCTGGGAACTACACTGAATTTATGTGAATGAAATAACATGTGGACATTTTACTAGGTATTATAAGTAATCTAGAAATGATGTCCTCAGTATACAGGAAAAATATATATATATTATATGCAAATACTATACCATTTTATTTAAGGACCTGAGGATCCAAGGATTTTAGTATCTATGAGGTGTTTGGATGTGGGAGTGGGGGGATGGGTTTGGAAATAATCTTTGAGGATACCAGCGCATGAACTGCAGTCCAAAGTACTCAAAAGCTCTGATCCAGAAATAATTTTTCAGCCATCAGTTTGGCTCTGGCTTCTGCTTAGATTGTCTCCACTGCCTTCAGCAGTGTGGCTGAGGTTACTCCACCCACCAGATGGGACAAGTCTGTGAATCATTGAAGTGGGGCAGCAAGCTGAATTGTGAGTGGCACCAACCAACAGGCCTGTAGCCTGGATGCGATAAAGAAGGAAAGAAGAAGAAAGTGTGTCTGGTTTTAAAGAGCTCCAGTTTTCCTGAATGGCTCTGTCATTTGCCACTCTTGCCTTTGGTTGAGTCTCTAGGTTTCCAGTTCCTTCATTCTTCCGACACAGACTCAGTAATGGTGACATTCCATTGAACTTCCAGGTCTTTGACCTTGGGCTGGTTGTATATCCTTGAGACTTCTTGTTCTATGGCCTCCATCTTTTGGCTGAACAGCTACTGGATTCTTTCAAATTTATCCTGAAGATAGTCACTGGCTCTTCTGTCTCTGATCCTATAAGCCTACATAATAAATATCCTTGCATAATTATACATATATTTTCTGTTGATTTGGTTCCTCTAGAGAACTCTAACTAATAGAAATTTTGGTATCAGGGAAGTGGGATCATTGCCATGACTATATTTAACCATGTGGTTCAGAAATCTTTGCAAGTGGATTGTGTGAGGAGTTTTGAAAAAAGTTTAGAGATGCTATTTGGGGAAACCTTAGAATGTGATAAGCAGGGTAAACAGAGATGAGAGATTCTGGTTTGAACTCAGGAAACCAGAATGTTAATAGGAATGCAGACAGTAAAGGCCAGCTTCAGGGATTTCAGTTGGGAACAAGGACTCCATTGGCAGTTGGATAAGAGGCCATGGGTGTTATATCCTAGCACAAAATTTGTCTTCATTTTGCCCATGTTTTGAAACTTTGTGGATGACTGAAATTAAGGGTGGTGGACTAAGTAATCTGGAGGAGGAAATTTCAAAGCAGCCTAATGTTCAGGCTGTGGCATGAGCACTGCTGACTGCTTTAAGCTATATATACAGTGACAATCAAGAGAAAGGAGCAAAGCTAAATGATTTGAAGAGTGCAGTTCCATCAGAAAGGAAATTCCTGCAAAATTGGGACCACAGAGAACTTGGTTGTTAAAAAGATTAGCATTATAAAGAAGATAAGTAGGGCTGGGGATTTAGATCAGTGGTTCTGCTGCCTGCCTCAAGAGTACAAGGACCTGAGTTTGAACCTTTGTCCAAAAAAAAAAAAGTTATTTGGGCTGGGGATTTAGCTTAGTGGTTCTGCCACCTGCCTTGTAAGTGTAAAGTTCTGGAGTTTGATCCCCAGTACAAAAAAGAAGACAAGTAGTTTTATCAGGACTATAGAAAAGATGATTTGAAAGTGTCTAAGCAAGAACCCATCCATCATGAGCTCAAAGGTGCACAGCTGCCAAGTTCTCATTAGAGAAGAGAGTCCATTGGCCCCCTATATGAGGAAGGCCAGCTAAAGAATTGGTTCCCTGGGGTTTGTTTCACAGTGCTCAGACACTCAGGCACTTAGGCACACAGAGGCTTCTGAAACCATTGTCTAAAGGGGCCAGTCTATGGCTCAGGCTGCGGGCAGATCTTGGCATCATTCACATGGTGCTGGTTTTTCAGGTATTTGAAATGAAATAGTTGCAGGTGTTGGGCAGTTTGTTTCAGCAACGTCAAAGTGATGAATCCAGGGTGGCTGAAGATCCTGAAGAAATAGTTTTGGAGTTGTAAGTTATAGTGCTATATTTTTGTCTGGATGTGAAATCAGAGACACTTGGGAACTTGCCTCCCTGCCCAGGTGGTGGATTGAAGGAAGGAAACACTCAGACTAAAATGTGGGCTCTGAGTCTATCAAGAGTGATTTACTTAAACCAAGCTCCATTTTCTTGCTTAGGAAATGCAGGCAATAATGCTTATTCTAGAAAGAATTCATGAGGATTTGAAGTGTTGTGTGCAAAATTCAATACATCTTTTTTCCTTTGGCTAAACATTTCAGTATAACAATGGCTAAAATCATTTTAGTGTGTAAATTACCTTAGGCTAACACCAGGTGCAAGCAAAACTTAAGCTTTTCAGTTTTACACAGAATAACAATTTGACTAGATTGTCAAATCTACACCATTTCTTTATGAGAATCAGAAAGCTGGAAGGAGAATAAATTTATAGAAAATCAACCTTTATTAAGCCTCCCATCACCTCCTCTCTAAGGAATGAAGTGAAGACTGGGTGGGAATGTCTTGGCTGTAAAGTTTGATTGCCTGTCCCCTTCTGTTCATGGAGCACTGGGCCAGGCCCTGGAGATGCTGACATGAAGAGCCCATGAGAAAAAGGATATCCTGCTGTGGGATGTTTATTGGGCATGCCACAAGAGTACATCTGAGATATAAGGTACTGTAGTGTGGAACACAGGACAAAGCAGGCTCATGGAGACCCTGATGGTAGTAAACATAGTCTTGCAGCTGAGAGGATCTAAAAGGGGCACTATGAACCCCATTCTGATATTTTTGCCCCTTTGTGACTTTCCTCTTGAGTGGGACTGGGGCCTGTTACATGGATCTAACCAAGAAAATATGACAAAGGTCGTAGGATGTCATTTTTGTGACATGTTGCCTTAGGTTGTAACTTGAGGCTTCCTAGCAAACTCCCTTGCTC